ACTGGTGAACAGTAGGCTGAATTCAAAGGTTCAATGATTACCTTCTAACATTACCTCAACTTCTTGCTTGATCAGGTCTCTCACAGCATAGGGCATCTAGTAGGGCTCCACCTTGACTGGATTCCTGGTTGTGGTCTTGATCTTGTGTTGCACAACATCTGTCTTGCCTGGTCTATATGTGAAGATATCTGCATATTGGCAGAGTATATCTTTCATCTGCTTGCAAGTTAGTTCTTCACTGATGTTGACGTCTTTGTATGCCTCATCTCCAGCCAGCAGTCTTGGGTCTAGTAGGTCTTTATCTCCTATGACAAAATCACCATTTTCTGATCCTACTTATATGATGGGCCACACCTGCCATGTCCATCTGTGCTTCAATAGCTGCACCCATTAGGTCTTCTTCCCTTGTGAAGTACCTCTTCAACAGATTGGTGTAGTAGATCTAGGTTTTTCTGTCCACTTTCACCTTATAGTCCATTCTGTTGAACACTTCCTGCACTTCAAAAGGCCCTTTCCACTGCAGGGAGAGTTTGTTTTTCTCTGTGGGTAGAAGAACCAGGCCTTTCTGTCCAACCTTGAAACATTGATTCTTGGCCTTCTTGTCATAGGAGTGAGTTGACAAATTTCCTCCAATCAGTTTCTGAGGTCTAATACATACTGGTATATGTTCCTCACTTCTAACTCACTTCTCCTGTCCACAGCTCTTTCAATATCTGCATCAGACCTCATACTGCTCTTTTGTACAGAAACTCAAAAAGTTAAAATCCTGTGCTTGCTTGTAGGACTTCTCAGTAAGCAAATAATACTGCCTATAGGTACATGTTACAGTCATGTGGTCACTCCAGGCACATCTTCTTCAGCATGCTCTATAACACTCCATTGACTCACAAAGTCCATTACATCTGGGATTGTACAGGGTAGTAAAGAACTGCCTAGTGCTGATGAGTCTGCACACCTCTGCATCAGATCTGAGGTAAACTGCATCCCTCCGTCACTCAGGACTTTTTTTTGGAAAGCCTACTCTGCAGAACACTTCCAGGAGGGCTTCTGCTTTTCTCTCCATCTTTATCTTCAGCACTGATATGGTTTCTGGGTATTGTGTCACATAGTCAACTAGTGTCAGTACATACCAACTGCTCTTGTTAGATACAGGTGCTGAACAGCTCTTCTATGAGAGGCATCTTACCCAGTGGTACCTTGGCTACCTTCCCTCTAGGTACTTTCCTTTTGCAGATGTCACATGACCTGCAGAACTTGGGCACATCTATAATGACCACCAGTGGAAGTTGCTGGTAATTTTGTCTACTATATTCTTTGCTCCTATGCGTCTTCCAACAACCAACTTGTGAGCTAACTTCATCACTTGAGTCTGATATTCTGTTGGTGGTATGATATGTTTAATTTCCCTAGTAGAACTGCCTTGATAGATCTGGTACAGCTCTCCCTTCCAGTTCTCTATTCTGTAAGTCCCTTTGTCTTATGCTTGACTCTCTCCAGGGCACTGTCTCAAAGTTTCTGCAGTGAATGGTCATTCTTCTGTGTTTCCTTCAGTTCCCATAGGTTTACATTCAAGACTTGCAGGGGCTTGATATTTGTTTGCTTTTCTTGAGCTCTTGTGGTGACTGCAGATGCGTCATCAGTCTCTTTTCTCTCTGGTTCCTCCAAACTTCTACTCCTTGGTATATTGCCATTCACTGAGACACAGATGGGTGCCATCATACACATGGCCTCAAGATCTCCCACATAGTATGGAGTGTCCACCGTCTCATTATCCTATCAATCAGCACACACAGATGTACTTTGGCCATCATCCGATCATCAGATACTAGACTGGTTCTCAAAGCTGCACCCAATATCTCATACTTTAACTTCCTTTTCCCCAAAATACCCTTCATCTAATGGAAAGTTGTGGTTTATTGACACTTCTCTGCATGTGTCACATGCTCTGATCACAACTGGCACTGTTGACCCATTTGCTAACCATCAATCTGCAGTGTTTAATCACGGTGCTAGCATTTCCTTCTTGTGGTGAATCTGACGAGTTGTCTTCCCTCTGTTTCTTCTGGCAGTAGCATTCTTGGTGACAGTCACTCTTTTCTTGTTTTTTGCCAGAACCATCTTTGTAGATAGTTTCAGCTGCTTTATGTTGAGATTGCTGCTGTTGCTTGTTGGTGACAGACTTGCACTCACTTGCAATGTGTTCCATTTTATAACAAGCATAGCATTTTTTCTCCATTTTGTCTGTTGACTTTTTGTCACCTTTGTTGGCATCCTGCCTCTGATCAACCACCCATGGTTTTGACTTGGACTTGCCAGTTATACTCCTTCCATGGGCTTCCATATACTGTTCTGCCAGTTTGATTATCTCCCACATCTTTCAGTGCTTACTCTTGTAAGAACAGTGACAAGTCAGTGGATCGTGTGATCAAGAACTGTTCACATATTAGTAAATCTGCCAGTCCTTCAAAACCATCTACACACTTGGCCATGTCAATTCACTTTGTGAAGTATCACCATAGATGTGCCACAAACTGAAATACAGTTTCTCCAGTGTTAGGTTTGACTTCTCTAAACTTTCAACGAAAATCTTCTTTGGTAAGTTCATAGCATTTTAGCAAGGTAACATAGAGTCTTCTGACATCCTGCCTACATAGGCCTTTTCCTGTGAGAAGGGGGCTGAGACAGACTGCCCAGTCATCTTTGTTCCAGTTCTGACTTTGGGCAAATATTTCATACCTCACCAGGAAAGCATCCATACTATCTTTTTGTTCATCAAATTTGGGCAGCTAGAGTCAGCTGGTCCTAACCCCCATTGTCATTCTTGGGTACTCAGTCTTTCTTTTGGGTGAGCTTGGCAAACTCAATTTGTGCTCTTATTCTTTCTATTTCTCTCTCTCCTCTTCTTCATTTCCTTTATCTCTTCTTCCGACACTCTTCTCCCTCTTGTTGTTTAACGAACTCTCATAGATCATCATCTCTAAGCCCAAGTCACTTGCCCCTCTTTATCCACTTATCAAAGTCAGTCGACAAGGTTATATGGTGTGGCTGTGACATCTACAATATTTTGCCACCAGTACAGCTGTGCAATATAGGCCTATTTGTCATTGTTGTTTACATCTACTTCTACCACCATTTACTACTGTCAATTCTGGCTGGCTCAGGTACTTTAGAATATAAATTAACGAGATGTATTATTCTTCTCTACTCTGTTATTACAATGTGATCAGTGATAATATCACTTTAAAAATTGTCATTATATGCTTTTTATGGCTAAACTCACAATCACTCAGTCTAAATCTATCTATCAAACTAAATTCTTGATTCATATTTATACCCCGCAGAGGTCTAGAATATTCCACACAATACTAGATATTATGATGCAATAAACTCAATTAAAACAACTAGAAAAACTCAGAAGGTTCTTGTAACATGATGCAATAATATAACAATCGCCAATTCATACCTATTGAACTACACAATGTATGATTCATAAATAGACATGTAAACAAACATAAAATAAACTATTGCTTCTAAAAATTACTAAATTTAACACTCAAGCTATATAAATTATCTAAATCATAACATAACAAGGTATCAACTTTAAGGAGTTTTCCTGAATAAATAACTAAATAGTTTATTAAGTAACAATATTGAAAGCTATCACTCCTAACAGTTCATTCTTGCAATTTCATCATGACACTGTTAGTTTTATTTTCTATTATTTGTTTTCCTTAAAACTAAGTGAAATGTTAAAAAACTGATTTTGTTACTCTCTCAACCACCCCTCTTTACATATTAATTTAAAATATCCTACTCTGTTAATCATTAAAAAAAGAAAAAATTAAGAGGTTATTTCATCTCTTGTAAATTCATTTCTTCAGTTTTCCTCCATTTTGATAGAGTTTCAGTACTTACCAGTTTGAAAGATGCCACATTTGGGAATATGTTCCCCAGTGTGGTACTATTATGTATCCAAAAAAGTTAATGTTCATTTCATGATAGTCTATTTCTTATCAATCCCATGCACTTCTCCTAAATGTCAACCCTTTAATTGATGAAGTGTCACACAATGTTAAAGAAGATTCAGAAGGTCATCTGTTATAAACTGATTAGCTTATATTTTAATTCTCATAAGAATATGAATTTCATTAGGTAAAAAACTGAAAAGTTTCCAACCTTTTACAATTTTCCTGTAAAGGTTTTGAAGGCATACTGGGGAGGAAAGCAACCAGAATGAGAGGAAGGGAGAAATCAGTTTTACCCTAATATGAATACAGATTTAGCTGGCCAAGCTTATCATTTGTTTAAATGTTATACTTGGCCATTTCATTCCTTTTTTGTAAGGATTAAGAGTACTTCAGCACTGTAAGCACACACATGCAAATTGTTTTGTAATCGGGACTTATCTTTCATTTCAGCAGGGACCGAAAGTTGTTTTAATAAACTTTGAAGTTAATCATATTCTTGGTAGTTTACAAAACAAGATGTGGGACATAATTTATATAAATAAAAAAATCAAATTCTGACCAATCCCAAAAATTAGAAGGAAATGTGTGGGTTAAGTATGAAGTCATTCATTATTTAACTGGAAGTAAAAGGGGAACTAGTATTAACAAGCATTATCCAATCATCCTTTAAATTTGTTGGATATCCCTTAGCAAGTATAAATGATTCAACACCTAAGTCAAAGTTGGAATTGTTTTCCCCAAGACAATGAAAAAACAGACTGGCATGGCTGTATAAAAAGAGTATTATGGACGAAATTTCTCAATAAAATCTATTGACCCTCTTGAAAGCATTTCTATACCTTTGAAAAAATTTAATTAACTGTTTTAGATCCATTTTATAAATTTAATAAATGTTACAATTTAATAATGAAATCCCTGTAAAAACCCTTAACAAAACTTTAAAGTCACATTTCTTCAAACAGGCTTTATAAAATACACAATATAAATGTACTTGCAAGTTTCTCATTTTCTGTCATTATAAAGTGTACTTACATTTTTCAGCTTACTTCCAGCCATATCATATGCTAGACTCACAGTGTAATCTCTATAGACCTAAAGAAAAATAATGACAAATTAGTGATGTACAATTTGAATTATGAAGTGCTTACTACACTGGAATTAAAACTGTTTATCAAATTCAGCTATACACAAACACAGGGTCTTACAGGCATAAATTCAGTCACTGGGCTAAAGCTATGTACCAAGATTTAGTTTCTGCTAAGTCTTAAATTAAAAGTAAACATACGAAATCACTTAGAGGACTACAGTTTCAAGCAACATTCAATTTTATGACACTCCACTGGCTTTAGCAAGAGTAAAGCCCAAAGAAGCAGGAGAATCAGCTAAAACAGACCATCAATAATTATTGCATACTAATGATGAGAGTTTAGAGGGACAGCAAGGTAATCAGTTCATACAGACTATCAGTAAGTTGCATGCTAGCCATGAGGCTTTTGGAAGCTATGATACCCCAAATGATTTTGAATTAAATACCTAGGTGTTATTTCAAGACATCAAAAATCACATATTTTGTTGCTTCTTTTACAAAAAATAAAATAATGAACACATTTGAATTTTAAATGCAATTTTATGCAGCCTATGAACCTTCATTATTTGGACAATCATGACAGCAAAGTAAAATAACTTTTTTTATTTGTTTAGAAAAAGAGCTATTAAGCTCCAAGTAGCTGCTTGTCCTGGTTTTACAGAAGTCCAATACTAAGCTAGATCAGTAATAGAAGATGTAGCACAATAAAGCTCTAATGTCTTTAACACAAAAAGTATTTTTGAAGCATTTAATGTCTATGAAGAAAATTAAGTTGAAAACTTGTTCCACAATCGATTAATATCTGTATAATAAGATTCAGTGTCTGTGCTGGTCACACAGACTAGAAAATTGTTCCAAATGAATCATCTCAGTTTCAAGGTTTCAAATGAGTAAGATTTTTCACCCCACCCCTTGGGGAACTTAGGGATTTCCTGAAAATTTATTTTTCCTAAACATTAGTACATTCTTCTTTTTTTAAGAAATATAACTGTAAAATGCAAAAATATTCAAATTAAATACTTTTTTATAATCATCTTATCTGCATATGTAAAAACATTTTTGTCACACAATAGCACCCTATAAGGACAAAATGTAAATATCCCCAGATTTGTTTCTGTTGACTTGAATGTGGTATCAAAAAATTTCATTTTTTCTATTCTATTTTAATTACTTACTACTTGAAAACTAACACTGATACTGACTTTCAGTCACTGATCTTGCCAGTCTTTCTTTATATCACAATCTATATATGCAAAATAAACTTACTTTTACTTGCTTCTGAATGATATATCTTAAAGACACTGTAAAGTTACACACATATATATATATATCTAGTTCATAAATATATATATAAAAAAATACAGTTTATGTACTTTCTTTTCAATATTACACAAGGTACATATAAAGTACCTAATGCAGTGCTTAAAATAAATATTTTGACCTGGCCCAAAAAAATGCCTAAATAAATGATTTAATGTCATTACTTAAATTATGTTTCATAGAGTGGCTTGGTAGTTAGTTGAAAATTTTTTCTTCGTTCCCCTATTCATATAAAAGTTCAGATGTTCACTAATGTGATATCTATCTAAGAATAACCCCTGCAGCAATTTGTTTTCATACACCAGTGCAGGAGTCATCTTAGCAGTGTTCAAATGAAAGCAGCAAACACCATGTGATGCCATGACCTCACAAAGGTATAACTCATTCGTCTTTAACTTACCACTGGAAGAGATAAAATCCAATTTTGTACTCATTTTGGAAACAAAATTGTTATTTTTACTTACACAATACTTATGGTTAAATATACATATTTGTTACATTCAAAATAACTAATTAATAGCTTATTCAGAAGTAAATCAAAACTATTGAAAAGTATAATGTAATCACTGGATATGATGTAGAATATTTTTTTATAAGGATTAGTAATGTTTTTATAATAAATCTAATAAAAAAGGCATTGCTAAAAAAATATCCCATTATGAAGTACAAAACATCTAAAAATACATATATAAAAAGCTCAACATTTACATGAAATGAGATACAGGCATTCTCATTACTAACAAGCATATGTCATTACCTACGTTTATGAAAACAGCGTACAAGATAAGTGGAGTATCAGGTTTTTTCAAATTCTTGTATATTTTCATATTACCTTACCTCATGAGATATTTCATTAAATCTTGTAATAAAGGCATGTTTTAACCAGTCAACCACCACTTCAGCCAACATTACTAGCACACAGTCAAGAAATAACACCAGAAAATGATCTTAAAGAGAGAGAGAAACATGAATCCATTATTCACAAAAATTTCTCAAACTTGAGACTTGACATAACATTACACTAAAATTACAGAATTAATTTTATTTTCAACAAATATACAAATTTGTGCAATCAAGTTAAGTAACTGGATTATACCTGTTGTATTAAGTTTGTTTTTACTTACTATGCAGAAAATTTTGATTGTTAAAAAAATCAGTGCAAACACAACATTGCAAGAAAATATTCTTTTTTTTTCAAACTCAAGATTTCCTGATTTAAGTTTTTCCAGTACAGAGTTTATGTCACATTATCTTTACACTCAGTAATTCCCAATTTAAATAATATGACCAGGAGTCATAATATGCCACTTCAACTTAAGAAAAAATACTGTATCTTGTAATTTAAACAATAATAATATATATAACTTATCTCATTTTACCTTGTCTCCAGTTGTATTCCTTCATAGTTTGTATTATAACAATAAATAGAAGGATCAAGTAATGGAACCTTTCTCTTACATCACTACAGGACATCAGGAAAAGGTTTTTCTTTTCAAATTTTTTAAAGACCATCCCTTTCAGTTCTACAAACTAGAAAACAAAGGTTAGTGCATCAAACAGAATTTTAACTTTCTCAAGATCAGTTTTAATATTTTTATTATAATGCAAAATGCATACATCTGATCAATGTGTAGCATTTATAATTTTGTTTTCAATTTGAAGTTAACTTTTACTGTTCTTTTCAAAAATTTAATATCTTACTATAATGGAGCCATCCATATATCTATCTATCTCTGTTGCGCTCGAATACAAGATCGCAATGTCTGAATGAAATGTGGCAACATCTACTCAATGACACCACAAACAAAATCCATACAAAAATTTCACACTTTGGGTATTCAAGATTCAGACAAATATAAAAATAACTACGTTATGTACAACAACTATTTCTTTAAAACAGAACGATTTTAAATAAAAGTACTCTACTCACAACAAGAAGATGAATTTCACTAGAACTGTATGTGAGGGTTTCTTTATATCTTTATTGGTGTAATTTTTAAATGTAGTATTAAAAAATTCGAGTTATTTTTTTGAAAGTTTGTTTAAAGTTATGCACAAAGCTACACAATGAGCTATCTGTTATCTGTGCTCTAACATCATGGGTATTGAAACCCAGCTTCCAGCATTATAAGTCCACAGACATACCACTGTGCTACTTGGGGGCTTTGGAGTTATTAAAAAAAAACATTTTTTTTTCAATAAAGGGTAGCACTTTTAATATGTAAAAACTTCAGTTTATATCAGTAACATTTAAAAAAATTTTGAGCTCTGTACAATGGATCATTTTGGTGCAATGAGTTACATATGACTAAAGACCACAATCCGAACGCTTTTCGTTCAAGAGTGGACGGAAACTTGTGTTGCTTAACGTCATTTCAGATGTACGTCCCACTATCCAGGAATGCATAATGATGTATAATGTGGACCCCCTGTACTTGATAATAACTGCCTTAATTTTCTTTTCTTTTATTCTATAAATAAATAAGAAAGCTTACAATGATATTCAGAACACAACATGGGTATGTGCTTTTCTGGAGTATAAATAGAAGCCAAGTTAATAATTTTTCACTAATTCGCATACAAAATCTGTACATATGGAATTAATTATACTGGATCAAAATCCCTATTAATTATTGTAGCATAATGACATTATGTCCAAATGCTTTGGTACAGACAATAAAATATTATGGAAATCCAGTGCAGAAGCAATCCACCAAAATTTATACAACAAATCTGGTATACACCAGTGAAATGTTAACATTTTCCTTAATTGAAAATATATTTCTGATAGATACTCATCTCCATACACAGAAAGCTATTTTTTCTATTGAAGTCGGATCAACCAACCTGAAAAACTTGTATGCTACCAGCCTTGTAAAACCTCCCACTTAAATTTCATAAAACACATGAATTTGAGCTACTGCATGATGAGTTATCATGCAGCAAAACCCTCCACCAATAGAAGTGCAACAAACCTCCTTGTGCAAATGCACTTTCTACATTCATGCGCAAAATTCCTCGTTCTTTTCCTCAGCACAGTCATGCAAAGATGTGTTTATTTTTGTTGAAGTATTTTATTTGAACTTTACTTTGTGTTTTCAACCTTTCAGTATCAATTTAAAGTGAATTTTTTTTACTACTTGTGTGAGTACAAATCCCACCCACAATTATCAACAATCCATGAAGTTCTTTTCTTGTTGAGATTGTGACAGCCATTGTCCAACATGTGGGGTTCACGTTGCCACCAGGACTCTCTCCTTCCATTTCTGCTACACCATTCCTTTTACAGAATTTTGAATCTGAAGTTGTGGTGGATGAAGAACATATTTGCTTCTTTTCAGGTTTTCTAAGAACTTATTACCCAGATATGCACCAATCATCTTCCTTAACCCCTTTTTTTTAATAATGCTTCCTTATCTATTTTAAAAACCCTTCCTCTTGCAATTTCTAGGTCTATTCCATAGTCCCTTGCTATTTCTGTTCATATTTCATCCTTTCTAAAACATATACGTTTTTGCAATACATGCCACATCCTCTGCACCTGACAGTTTCCTACCTAATTTCTTAATATCCCCCCCCCCCCCACTTTCCTGGAAATCCATTCCTTAATATCATATTTGCAGTCTTGGGGATGCAATATTTGTTGGTTGTGCTACTGTCCTGTACCCACATTTCCCAACTTCATGTTTTCCTTTTTACCCTCCTTTGTTACTATTCTCTCTTGCCATGATATAAAAGATTGTTCAGTTTAGATGTTATTGACTGATTTGTTTTTGTGAGTGAATATTTTATTATTGTTTAGTTTTTGTTATAATAAGAATTAAAAGCAGATGAATGTAGAATATTTTGTTAATATTTTATTGATGTTGAGACTATTAAACATCTAGTGCAATACATTGACATTGAAAATATAGAAGGTGGACATATGATTAGGTGATAAATATATAAATAGCATGAGACAAGCAGGAAGGAAAAGTTTGGCGTGAAGTTAAGTACCGTAGAAGTGATAGGCCTAACAACTGACAAAAGCCTAACATTTAATATGTTGCAGTAAGACTAACAGTAGAAAAGGAGATAAGAAAAATAATTTATTCCATGAAAGCATGGATCTAAAGTAATTGAATCAGCCAGAGTGCACTTTGAAAAAAGGAACAGAGGATCTTAAGAAGAAAGACCAAACGATTATGGTGACTCGTGCCACAATTGTAAGTGAATCACACACAGAATACTAGTGTGATAGTAATAGAGAAGATAGTTTGGCTTGTCAACTGAAATTCTAAAGCAATTGAATAGGCCTAAGTGGATTTTGACAAGAAGAAGAGAACTATATACATATAAACTATATATAGCGTTTATGATATGCCTGTAATCTCTATAGTGTGAAGAATTTGTTGTACATACATTTAACTTGTTACGAATATATATATATATATATATATTTTGAAAACAAGTGAAGTGTGTGCTGCTCATTTATCATTGAACTTATCGCTAACAAGTCACAGACCCCTACTGTAAAAGAAACCTAAGCCAATCAACAAGAACAACACAGTATATATATTCATACTATTAAGAAGTATAAGTAAAAGCCTTTTATTTTGACAATTGGAAAAAAATATTATACTTTAAATTCTGACATGGTTATATAAGTATCCATACTAATTGTGTCCAATAAACAGAAGTGAATACCCTGTGCCCTCCTCCCCCAACTGGCAAGGGGCCCAAAGTGTCTGATGGTACAGAAGCTGAGCACATATATTTATCACAAGTGCCCTCTTCCCACAGCTGGTTTTGACCTGTAGAGACTAATGGTTGAAGAATTGTGCACAAGAGGTATGGTCTGAATGAGCCCCAACCTCACTACACTTATTGGCCATCTGACTTCTTGTATGCAAGTACTCAGACGATCAAGTACCTATTCCACCCATCCTTGTGATGTACTTCAGGCCTTTCACCTCTTCTAATCCTACTCACAGGTGAATGAAATAACCTGGATGATAGGAGATGCAGTCTTCTATGGGTATGTTCCTATGAAGCCCCTACCATAGGGTGTCACATCACATGGGTTTCCTTCAGATGCTTGCTGAATGGAGCTCATATAGGTAAATTTTGTGCCAGTTCCTCCACCATATCAAGGTGGGATTCTAGCTTCCTGTGAATGGAGTAAGTGATTATATTGGAAGTTAACATTTTCCTTAATTGAAAATGTATTTCCATTAGATAATCACCTCCATACACATTCCCACCAATCCTGGTGCAGCTTTATTTGTTGCCTTGTCAAATAATGGGAGTATTCACAAGACTGGTGGTTGGCAGATTTCTCAGGCAGGTTAATGTGACTTTAAGAGGAATATAGCTTTCTGTGTACAGAGGAAAGTGATTGTAACATAATCTGTTGTTAAATTTATAATCACTTTCTGATACCTTCAAACCATTTTGAATTAATTACACAAAAGCCATGAAATGTTAAAAGCTACTTCATATAAACTATAAAACCAATACTTCCTATTTTAAACTGACTTATATACAAAATAAAAATAATTCAATGTTTAATTTTACAAAGCAATATACACTTACATTATTGGACATCATTATGGTTAACAATGCTTTATTCTGGGAGTTGATTGCAACATTCAATGTTGTGGCTTGCAACAATACTAGAACAGTATGAGTAACTGATAGTTAGTTAAAGAAAGACATCCCATATACTATACATATAAAACTCAGTAAACTACTAAAATTGTTTTTCTTAAGCTTTTTTTTACATGTGAGTACTGGTACGTACTGGCCAATGTTCAATATAAGATTCAGTAACAGTATCTATGTAAAATTTTATATAAAAAAATAATAATAATACTTTGCTGTTGGCCAAATGAAACTGTATGTATTAATTTCTTGTTTTTGAATAATGTGGCAGGAATATTTGATGCTGATTGTAGGCAACTGGTGGTTGGTTGTACAAGCTGAGACTAGACTTAGTATTTTATATTATCTTTATAAGAAAGGACTTTACATACTTTCAGTCCTTTATACAAATATCTGTGGATATTCAGTAAAACTTTTAACAAACAGCACATTTACGCAAGTTGTTATCAACCACAGTCTATTTATATAACACAAACATAAAAGGATACAAACATATCCAACAGCCATTCCGAAATGTGGAATAACTCCAAGGTGTTCTCGCTTCCGATCCCTAGGTTCTGTTGCTGTCCAGAAGAGAGCATCAAGAATATCTTGCCCAAATGATGAGAATAACTTATCAGCTACCTAAAATTAAAGTTTCTCTTTAAAATTCCACACAAAGATAATAAAAAATTACTTTTTGTTAAAAACCTTTGTTTATATAAATAATAAATAAATAAATTTTACCATCACAAATTAACACACACAAAATTAATAAGACCATCACTTGTTCTGACTTTATTTAACAAATTTTAAGTTGAAAACAAATTTCAAGTCAAGGTACATGTAATACAATTTTTAGATTACAAAAAACACAAAAAATTTAGAAAAATAAAATAAAAAAATACAGTTGTACGTATCATAAAATGTACCAAACAACAACAATGACAGTTCTTATTAAGAATTCTCTTGAATCTTAATTTATCACTTTTTATCTTACTATCAGAAACATAAAAACACTCTACTAAAAAGTAAAACAGATGTAAAGGGAGGTAAAATATAAAAACATAAATGGAAAAAACATTCCTCACATGAAATTCTCAGTGTTTCTTATTTCATGAAGATACAGTCACATTCTCAATCACCAAATATTATATCATTTTGGTACTGTTGTTGCAGTGATTTGTGCCACATATAACTTAATAAACTGAAAATTCATTAGTCAATGTGACAGTTCTGTCCATCTGATAAATATTATACATACACGATACACATTCTATCAAGTTTAGTTTCAATATGACATACTAACATGTACAACATGAATAGATGATTTGTTGTGGTAACTCTTCTCCATACAAATGATGGCTCTGGATATATTCTAGTGTATAGTTACAATGTTACATGCACCTATTGTAATAATCTGTATTTGAAAATTTTCAATAAAAAAACTAACCATTTGTTTTTAATCATTGTTAAAAATTTATCTTTAAAACTGTGATCCTAAAAGTTTCAATATGACATACTAACATGTACAACATGAATAGATGATTTGTTGTGGTAACTCTTCTCCATATAAATGATGGCTCTGGATATATTCTAGTGTATAGTTACAATGTTACATGCACCTATTGTAACAATCTGTATTTGAAAATTTTCAATAAAAAAACTAACCATTTGTTTTTAATCATTGTCAAAAATTTATCTTTAAAACTGTGATCCTAAAAGTTAAATATAAAATTATTAACTAATTCATTTTTTGGATATGCATGTGTTGTGTACATCTTTATCAGTCCCTATAACTTGTACAGAAAAATATTTCATACATTCTAACAATCTCCTCTAACCAGTAACAAAACTATTTACTGAAATAAAAAGCATTGTTCTTAATCTACAGCCTTTGGATGATATTGCAATACATACTGTGATTAGCACACTATTTGTATTAGACTATTTGGTACAAAACTACTTTTATGAGGATAAACACTTAGCATTAATGTTTTCAATGTGTGATGTATCAGAGCTATAGTTTTCTTAGACTAAAACATTAGGTAACTGTAAAAGACTGTCAAGAGTGCTTTCACAATCCTTTTTTTTGGTAATGTTCTACAATATACATCATTGCTTAGCAACAAATCTATCACCTGATTGTTCTTCAGCCAACTAAAGTGTTGAATGCTAAATATTCATGTTGATTTGTTAGAAAGGTTTGTTTTTTATTATTTATTTTTTTGATAACTTTGGTGATATAACAGCAAAACAGCTTAATTCAGAAGTTGTAGCCACAATATATTTTAACACATATATTATATACTTGGCCTTAAAACATAAATATAAATAAAAGTTTATTACAACCAAATATCTTTTATCCTTTGTACAGTCAAAAGAGTTGAATGTTTGTGTCAGAATATCCGCACTATGTTTTCTACTTCCTGATATAGAATATGGTGAAAAGCCTCAAGATTGCTATCTAAGTCTCTTTCAGAGTGCACATGTACTTTTGTTCACAATAACATTTAATTTTTCTGCATACTTTTTACTAAAAATGTGGTGATTAAAGAATTACTTCGAGACTGATGAAAATGTGTGAAGAGTAGGTGCATTTTGGAGATACAGATAAATACGTTTTAGTTAAATTTTATAATTTTCGTTAATGATTCAACAATGGTTTCCTGTCATTTTTGACAGGCTTTTATACTAGTATTGATAAATAATTTGGTTCATTTGCTAGTAACACAGTTCACATCCTAAACACTCCTATTTTGTTTCAGGTTTATTTGACCTTACGCTTGTTTCCATAATGCTATGAAGCAATTAAATATATCTTTATAATGAGAGTTTACATAAGTTTATACCATTTAAGATAACAGTAAAAACTAACTAAAGGAAAATATTTTATCAGGTTAATACTCTTTCATTTTATTTGAAATTGCATCAGGTCAATATGACCTGAAACATAAAACACACACACACTGAAATTCTGAGCACAGTAACATAAATATATATAATCATGCATTGTAAACAAACATTGTAATATTTGTAGAAAGTATGTTTATGTTTAGATGAAAATAGAATGCTAGATAGCATAATTTTTTTTTTATATTCTGTTAATATTCTAAAACAACTTTTACACTCAGACTGTTTTGAAGATTCATTAATAAAACTAGTACATAAACACTGTTCTATATTAAAGCAGCAGAAATAATATGTCAGCAGTGATAAAAAAACAGCCAATATACAATATGTAGAGGATAAGTCGTGTTTCATTTCAGTTTTTATATGAAAAACTTAGTTTAAAATATTCATACAGTTTTAGTCAGATAGAAAAAATTAGGAGTTAGAATAAAAACTGACTTTTTGCGATATGATAAAACAAAACATAGCCATTAAAATTATCTCTAAAATGTTCAAAAGAAAAACAATTTAAGACTTACTTTATACAATATGTATTTAATCTTTAAACTTAAGTTTCTTCACGTACCTCTAGCATATTGAAAAATATGTACAGTTTGATGACCGACTGACTCTTTACAATATGATACAACATGGATGTATCCATATAACTCATCATAATGCTTACTAAAATTAAAATTATTCCTTTCAGAAAGTCACATATTTCAGCAGGCTGAAGAACTCTCAGTCTTGGAGAGGATGACTTCCTATGAAGGAGGGAGCTTTAACAACAGAAAAAAAAAAAAGATCTATCAAAATTACATACACACTTTGCCTCATTTTTACCTTACTTTTTACAAATACTGGAAAAACAGAATAAAAGAAATGTTTTAAAAAAAGAGTATTAGAACTGTTTACTATCGCTAATTTTGCCTGACAAGTTCATTATAATTGTTTTCTTTAGTCTATATCTTATAAATTGGAAACAGTAACAAAAATATTTGAAACTGTGAACTTTCATGTATTTTGGTTCCATCAGCTTTTAACTATTTGTATAGACTCATGGAAAATTTTAGTCACTCATCACTTCATTGTCACTCATTATAGTTGTAATTTAAACTTTATAACATTATACAGAATTATTATACAGTTATTTCTCCAATTTTCACTTCAGTTGTAAAAACATTATTATTAAGCAAAAAAACTATAAATTAATAAATAAACATATTTATGTGAACAATTTAACCATTACTGAGCTTGCAACATCCATTTTTATTTAGCTGAGAATAAAAGTTCTTAATTTTTTTTAACTTAAGACAAAAATACCGTAGATAATTTACTGAAACATACATGGTGAATTAAAATGTTTACTTTTTCTAAGGGATGGTCAGAAAGGACCAAATAGTCCCTTATTGTCCAAAACATAATGTTAAAATGTATTATGTTTTAAATTCTCTAGAGGTAAAAAAAAGCAATAATTAAGAAAGGACAAACTTGTGAAGCAATGTGATATTCACACATCAAAGAGCTTAACACACAAAATGTCTGGTATTAATAACTACTGACCAAAAGTAAGTTAATTTTATAAATTAGAACTAAAACTGTTTGTATGTAGAAGTTTTGCACAAACCCACTCATGAGCTATTTGAGCTAGCCATCCCTAATTTTGAAGTTATAGAATAGATGGAAGGCAGATAGTCAGCACCACTCACTACCAACTCTTAAGTTACTCTTTACCAATAAATACTGGGATTGACCATCAGATCATAATGCCTCTACAGCTGAAAGGAAGAGAATGTTTAGCAACAGGTTTTGATCTTATGATCCACAGATTGTGTGTTGAACACCTTAAATGCAGAAATAATACAACATAGAATAATTTATTAATCAATAAATATAATCCTGTACACAATAGTAACAAATGGACTAGAAATACTTATTGCCAGAAAAACTAATAAATTATCACTTGGGAATCCTCACTCTTAGTATTTTTAAGAATGCAAGAAATATAAGTGTATAATGCAAAATTAGTTATTAACATGTTACAAACTGTATTTTCAAGAACTTCTTTACTAAAACACTATTATCAAATATTATCTAACTAATTCTCTGAAACATATTACCTTATTTTAAATACCCACACTATTCCCTGACATTAACACTATTACAATTACCTTTAACATCAAAAGCACAGGAGACTACATGTACTAATACAATGATATTCACACCTACTTAAGAAATAAACAAGATACTGAGTTAAGTACTGTTATAGGAAATACTCATAAAGTTTATCAAACCAGATATATAAGTAACAACTATTTACGTAAATTGTCATTTTTACATTATCATAACCAAATAACTAACCGCACATCATCTTCGTGAAAGTTAAAGTCTTTGCAAAATTACAGAGATAATAATAACAAAGTGAAAAGTTATAATCTGGAAAGGCACATATACTAGCTTTGTATAACAAGTATGAAAAAATCATTTTACACAACATACTCAGTAAAATAGTAAATTACTTTTAGATCAGTAAAAGTAATAAATTAGCAATCATTACATGTTTAGTTCCAACACCCATTAACTTCAATGATTATTTTAGTTTTTGTATATTAAAGACAGCTTATTCAAGACTTTTTAAATTCAAATGGTGAAAAGATGAAGAAGATAAAATATGAATGTACACACTGAAAAAAATACAGTTCATTTGGGAAATCACGAGAAAATGATATGCACCATTTTAGAGCCTCTGATGGTTACGTATGGCATCAGATGTTAGAGAATGGGAAGAAATGTGTGTTTAATGTTGTCAGTCACTTCTGTAGAATTGTGTTAGTGGTTTTATTGCATATCATATGCTGAATGACCAAATTAGTTTATATCAAAAAATCAAAGTGTAGAGAGATTAACTACTTATATTAAATTCTAAGGAGAAGATTAATGGAACTATCCATTAAGTGTAGGTCTTCCCCATACTTTTTAACATTGTTTTTATGCAAATGAATATACAAGTACAGTGATAAACATGACATCTAAAGATTTAAACAAAAAATGCAACTATTTTCCTTCCCTGAAACTTCTGCAAAATTCCAAAAATAGGGGAAATATACAAAAATTATCACCTATTTTTACCTACCTGACCAGCAGTCGAAGAGAACGGGTAACCAAAAACCAAACTGAGAGAGCAAAACGAAGTGGAAGAAAAGTAAAGATGAACAAGAAAGCATCAGCACATTGGAAAAATCCATAGAAAATAAACTGAAAGAAAAAACTTATTCACAACAGGGATCATACATCTCTAAAGGAATTTAAAATAACAAATTTACTATGTAAACCAAAAGTTTTACCAACTACTTATTAATATAACAACTTATGAGATTTTATAGTTTATCATGTAAAAGATAAGTTAGTTGAAGACTATATATCAGAAAATTTTGAAATTTCACGTGTGAAATCTTTATAATGTCCAAATATTTATCAAATGTTTCTTATAAAAAACTTTATGTTTTATCTACTATTTTCAATAACTAATCTCTGTACGAGTTCAGTAGATTTGACTGATCTCACAACCATACAAAATTAGAAAATAAATATAAATTATGCATCTTTCATTCTGTAATGAACCCAAATTATAATACGAAAATATAAATGTTTAGACTAAATAGCTTAAATCTCATAACATTATACATTTATATATATTTATTATTTTTAGTATATTGACCATTCAGCGATGCCTAGCTAGCAATTCAGAAATTACAATGACGCAGCTACAAGTGCACTCATATTACCATATCAAATAACATAAAAACTGTCCTTTGGTCTGTACAAAGTAATTTGTCTTGGCTGTGTTTT